ATTATCTGTGTTTATCTCTTTAGCCTATTTGTAATTAATTAATTTTAAATTTCTGCAAATAAAAAAGTTGAATAATTGGCAAGTTTTTCATACACTTAATCATTGGAAACAAGAGGAAAAAATTGTAATTATAATTTAAGTCATTCTATGCTGTCATTTTTGTTCAATCGTATCCCCCTTTCTGCATATCATGATATTCAATTCAATCAAATTATACGACCCACATACATGTACATCGTCTAATAGAACGAACAAAATCCGTTTGTTTGATCGGAGAATTAGCTTAGAAATAATTATTTTAAATCTAAAATGTTAAGTCTTGCATATATTTAGTTACAGAAATATCATTTTCCATTTTTTTCTTCAAAGTCTATGAAATAATATTGATAATTCTTTGAAATTTTAAATAAGTATTAAGCTGTATTTCGTTTTGAAAATATTGATTCCTAAATATTTTGAACTATTTTGAGTGAAGAATCGTGCGTTTGCGTTAACAATCGTGTAAGATCGTGTAACGTGTAGAATCGTGAACGTGAAAGATCGTTCGTGTAACAGGTTTAATCGTGCGTTAATCGTGCGGAATCGTTCGTGTAACGTGATCGTGCGTGTAAGTTGTCAACAATAACGTTCCAGCCACTGTAGAAATGTAAAGAAATAAAATTAACATGTATAAAGCATATGAAAAACATATGAACATAAACATATGTTGATCATATAATCATACAAAATATATGAATAACGTATGTTAAACATATAATCAATATATATTTAGAAACATATGTTGATCATATGTTGCTCGTTTTTTTTATGGCGAACAAATATGTTTTGGAACATATAAGTTAAACGTATGTTCAACATATTTCGAATATCTGCAAATTTACCTGTGCATAGGATATTTCTGGTACGTACAATATCATATCGAGAGACAAAAACGAAATAGACTTCATGTTTTAAATATTGATGATATTTCAGGATAGGCTTTTTTCAGGTTTACCTTTTATTGCAGAAACTATTTTTGAAGTTAATAATAAATGGTTCTTTTAAGAGCATAAAAAATGAATGTCACTGCTTGAATCCTATATTGTTTCGTGTGGTATAGAATTTCTCTGTTTCATATTGTCCTAAATTTCATAGCTCTTATCTGGCATCGAAAATAAATGCTTTGATTTCAATTTGTACATTTTTATTAATTTTCTCCTGAACTCTCAGCACTTTAAACTTCACAGAGAATAGAAGTATCAATCAATGGAATTTTCTGCCACAAGTTTGTCACGTTGAAGGAAACAATTAAAGGGATGTACAGTGTAATCAATATGAGCCAGATAATTTCTTAGATGACCCATTTCTCATGGCGATCCATTAAAATGCAATGAGATTAGTATTTACACACTACAACCAAATACAAAATAACTTTAATTGCATCTTTTGTTTTGTGTAAGGTCGACCCGATCTGCAAAATTCAAACCTGATCATTTAATCAGTTGTTTTGGACACCATTTAGAATCGATAACAATAGATGAAGATTCTTCCTTGGAATGAAATAACGAAAGAACAACCCAACTCAAATGGTAATATCCGAAATTTTTGATTTTGGAATGGCATTTAGGCGTTACTTTACTACTCAATGATAAGCAGGCAATGATAAGCAGTCCGATTTATTATTTTAAATTATTCCCATGGCTGATTGTACTAAACACTATCATTTTCGTATGAAAATAGAATCCTATCCAGCGTTTCAGTCCATTATACACACGGAATTGTCGACGGTTTTCCGTTATTTTCCGATCATGTCAAGGAGCACACGGCAGGTGTGACCGGTCGTGAGGGGATTCTCACTCCTCCATAGCACCTGATCTTAACTCAGCAATGTTTTCTTGGTAAAATTATTTCTTCATATACACTGTAAGAATAATATTTTAAATTGATATACTGTCAAGCTGTGTTAGATTAGTACTCAACGTGATATACTTATTCACTTCTTTTTTTTTAAATCCTAAATATGGCAAAAATATGGGTTTATCGACAAGGCACTTAAACACTTTCTTTTATAAATACACCAACGGGAGTACATTTAGTTATTTATCGGAGTTAATAAATTATTTTTTCACGATAATTTCTTTTCTCTTTATTATTTGATGGTCCCCAGTGTTGCAAATATACATGTAGCTGTCCCGATTGCTCTCAGTTTGTTTATGTGCTACTTAGTAAACATATGTGTTAAATTAGTGTTTGTCATGTTATATCGAACACTACAATTGATTTATCCCGATTTTGCTTTTCCTCGCTGAAATTAAGAATATCTGAAACACTTCGTGCAAAAATATCAACTTGTCAGATCTTAGCTCTAAGATACTGTATCAACACGTACTATTGATATTCATCTTAATATCCCTGACACTAGGGAAGGTGTTGTATTAATACATGTATGATTCATTAGAATTTAATTTGTTTCCGTATTCAAGACCTTTTTTATCGAATCTAAAACTTAATTACTTATTGCATATATTTTTTAAAATGAATAACACAGAATATCTTTTTGTACCCTCAAGAAGTTATGAGCGACGAAGTCAAATCAAAGCCAAAAAATAATCTTTTAAAGGTATGCTAGATAGGTATGTTAGATATAAAAGACAATTTTGTTTATATGTTGTATTTTGTAGACTTTTTAAATATACTTTAAAATTTTTAGTCATATTCTAAATGAAAATTAGTCGATATTTAATTTTAATCTAATTTTAAAACATTTTCTTCCTCAAATGAAATCAGTTGTCACATATCTGTCTTAAATTATGTCAGGTTTTGTTTGTTTCTGAGATGGAATATTATATATGTAAATGAACAAGAAAACATTGACGTTACCATCAATTGTCGCCCGGGAAATATATAAAGTAAAAAAGGAAAATGAGTCTTGATCATCAAACCGCTTCGATGTGTGTGAAAAGGCATGCGTCTAATTGATGGAGACGATAGTCTCGAATATTTTGAAAACTTGTAGTCAGATAAAAGTAAATTTAAAAAGATACCATTTTAAACTTGATCAATTCCTCAAGTAAATGTTGGCTGTATAAAATATAAATTAAAGTTAAACACACGCATCACCTATATTTAAAAATGTATTAATTTTCAATTTTAGAATATAGAATACGAACTGTGCAGAGTACGTTTTTATCCGAGAAGTAAAACTCGATGTTCTAAAAAAAGGGACCTGTCATTTTTTCGATAGTAAATGATAAGCAACTTGATATATTAAATATGAAAAACATATATATTTACAGATTCACTTTATGGAAGTAAATAAATTATATATCTCGTAATTTTTAAACGTAAAGAACATTTGATTAACAATCTTTTCAATGTTGAGAAAACCTTCAATTCTAAATAACTACTCCCATCCCCATCCCCATACACCAACACTTAAACTTATATGTATAGAGCAGCCCGGTCCTCCGGGCTGCAATAAGGACTTTTTAACGACTATTCTGAATATTTACTTTAAATTAAAAGTCTACACTATCTGTTCATATTCTTGGGAAGAACTTATTTTTATAGTTTTACCATTCCTTTTTTTTAGCTCACCTGAGCCGGAGGCTCAAGTGAGCTTTTCTGATCACATTTTGACCGTCGTCCGTCCGTCCGTCTGTCTGTCCGTCCGTCCGTCTGTAAACTTTTCACATTTTCGACTTCTTCTCAAGAACCACTGGGCCAATTTGACCAAACTTAGTACAAAACATCCTTGGGTGAAGGGAAATTTAAATTGTTAAAATGAAGGGCCAAGTCCCTCACAAGGGGATATAATCAAGAAAAGACAAAAATAGGGTGGGGTTATTAAAAAAGCTTCTTCTCAAGAACCACTGGGCTAGAAAAGCTGAAACTTATGTTGAAGCATCTTAGGGTAGTGTAGATTTTAAATTGTTAAATTCATGACCCCCGGGGATAGGGCGGGGCCACAGTGGGGAATCAAAGTTTTACATAGAAATATATAGGAAAAATCTTTGAAAATCTTCTTCTCAAGAACCACTGGAACTGAAACTTATGTGGATGCACCCTGGGGTAGTGTGCATTCTAAATTGTTCAAATCATGACTCCCGGGGATAGGGCGGGGCCACAATGGGGAATCAAAGTTTTACATAGAAATATATGGGAAAAATCTCTGAAAATCTTCTACTCAAGAACCACTAGGCCGGCAAAGCTGAAACTTATGTGGAAGCATCCTGGGGTAGTGTAGATTCTAAATTGCTAAATCATGACCCCCGGGGATAGGGCAGGGCCACAATGGGGAATCAAAGTTTTACATAGAAATATATGGGAAAAATCTTTGAAAATTTCTACTCAAGAACCGCTGTGCCAGAAAAACTGAAACTTATGTGGAAGCATCCTGGGGTAGTGTAGATTCTAAATTGTTCAAATCATGACCCCCGGGGGTTGGGTGGGGCCACAATGGGGAATCAAAGTTTTACATAGAAATATATGGGAAAAATCTTTGAAAATCTTCTACTCAAGAACCACTGGGCCAGAAAAGCTGAAACTTATGTGAAAACATCCTGGGGTAGTGTAGATTCTAAATTCTTCAAATCATGACCCCCGTGGGTAGGGCGGGGCCACAATAGGGAATCAAAGTTTTACAATGTTGAATCAAAGCATCCTATGGTAGTGTAGATTTCAAATTGTTTAAATTATGATCAGTTGGGTAGGATGGGGTCACAATATGTATTACAAGGGGTGAATCTGTTAAAGAACAGAATGGTCAAAGCTTTTCAGGTGAGCGATGTGGCCCATAGGCCTCTTGTTTTAATTGCTTCTTGTTTTCTTTTATAGTAAGTTCTGGTAATATATCAATCTTATTTCATTAAGAACAACAAGTATATCAAGTAAGTCTCTGTTACAAAAGAGTGATAGCGTGGCGTCAAATTACTGAGAGTAAGAAATCAATTTCTGTTTCTCTAGCATTGTTTCGTTTAGGTACTAACAGAATGTACAATAGTTTCATCACTCCCTTGTTTTATTCAGCGATTATATATCATACAAAAAACGGAAATGGAAAATCACATGATCTCCTCACTCTGACGAAATCAGGTATACACGTATTAACTGAGTGCAATGAGAGATTATTTAAATAACTCAAAAGTAAATTTAGAAACGAATGTACACTAAACTTTAAAGATGGGAATTTAAATTCTGTGTCCTTAAAAATGAATTTGATAATAAAGTTTACCTGTGTAAACAGTTTGCTACTTCGGAGCAAACAGTGGGATTAACACAATGTAGCATACTTGCAACTGAAGTGCAACCAATTAGCTAGACTAAAGTAAACGTTATTAAGGATATGTCAGAAAAAGAGTGACCTATGAATTATGGATTTTCGGATGCCGTATCTATCAACTGGAGATAAACTGTGCTATATTATGATTTTAAACTGCTTCCTAACTTGTGGATGTAAATCACTTAATTCTTCGAATGTCAACATCACTAGGTATGTTAACAGTTTAGCTATCATTTTCGAGCGACCCTGTTATTTTTGGTACAATAATATACTTTCTTATAACAAAACAGTTCGGCAGTTAAAAACAGCCTTGTATGATTTTTTTTAAACTTTACCGTTGTTATGCGAAAAATACTAATTGGTGTCAAGCATGTATTTCATAAATATATTTTTTTCATTTTTTAAAAATGATATTTAAAGAACTGTAGGCAAGTATTCTTCATAAAAATTTAGTTCATTTGTGAATTTAAAGACACTTGTATCTTCTTTGTAGGAAAGAAATTCTAAATTCGATTTTGGATGGTTACGAGGCCTGGATTTCCCCTAACTATGATAAAGGTAAGGATATTTACCTTTTTCAGAAATGTTTCCAGAAACTCAATAAGAGCTTCGTGGCAAAAAATCGGTATTACGATTTTAATTCGCTGGCCATTCAAGTTATGAAAGCATTCATATCAATATGTTTAATTGTCTTTTAAAACTAGGCAATACATTGAAATGGTACCCAGGATTTTTTTTATATTTTCATCGATAAAATTTGTTTTCAATGATTTGAAAATATCCGATTTAACTTTTAAATGTTGCTTGTGTTATGTACTTTTCCATATAGGAAGATAATACCTTTAAGATTACTCTCAAACTTCTCATTAAAACTAAGAGGATTAAAAAATCCTTTAATCAAATATTAGAGGGAAAGTACATTTATGTCTTTTAGTCATGACTTATGTCCCAGAGAGTTCAAAGTCCAGTAGAAGAATATATATATATGTATACTTGTACATTAAAAAAAATTAGATGTAAAGTAAATATAACAGATGTCCCTTTAATAACTCATAAACGCAATTCTTTAAAATGAAGTTCACCAAATCAATAAAATTCCATTATCTGGAAATGAACTTGCATCTTCCCTCTCAAAACGAGAGTGCAATCGAGGTGCCCTAAAAAAAATATTGTCCATATGAAAATTAAACAAAAATTGAGCATAAGAAAAAATAATTTATAATATATTTGTATGCAACATATATTCTCTACATTAAGTGAAGAAAAATCCTGTCTAAACCGAGACTTGTTCAATTTATTTCACCGTAAATTTCGACTTTGATTTTCATTCCATTTGACAAATAATTTTATGCGTTTTACACCAGTTTGTCAAAATTCGACTTACAATCATGTCGGGTAATTCACAGTTTTTGGTACTTTTTTCCTTCCTATAAGATTACAAAATCTACTTATTTAATTACTTAAAAAGAAAAGAACTTCTAAACATAAAATAATAAATGCAAATATAATTAATAAAGCTGTTGTAAGTGAAATAAATCTTTCTAAAATTATTAGTTTTTATTAAAGAAAGCTAATATATATAGTATTAAATAATATAGAGTTCAAAATATAGGACTAGAAACACATGAATGAATTTAAATGCAGAAAGGCTCTACGTTTTCTACAATTGATAAAATTTACGAAGTTTAAAGTAAACTAGACGATTATAGATCTATATGATTGTTAAATGAAAACAAAACACAAAGAATGAATCTCTCCAAATGGTGAGCTAAAAGACATATACAGTGAGGTTGCCGTTATCGAATCACTTAGTAAATTTGCTTGGATATTTCGTACCTGAGTTTGAGTTAAATTCATTTTACAACATTGTTTGGTGGTACTATGTTTTACTTATAACATCATATATATTTCCCCAATAGCCACTGATTAAATAAAAAATTATCGCTGTACTTGTACTAATGATGTTTTCTCCTTTACCGGATCATTTTCTCCATTACCGAATCACGTAACATAAATGTTCGGGACCGTGTAAATTTAAGAATACCCTTACTACGTAACGTTTTACTATGCCTTAAAATATTTCAATCCCCACCCACTCCCCAAAAAAGTAGAAAAGCTAGGAATTTTTTGAGTTGTTTGCATCCGACAATTAATGTAAAAACAACAGCAATAAAATCATACGGAAAACAAATGACTAGCCTAGTTGATATAAGAGGACGTAAAAACTTATATGTGCATGATGAACTGCAAACAGCCGAAGAATTAATTTTTGATTCAAAAATTGTACTCATTGAGCTACCACACCCCCTCCCCATAATTTTGTCGCTATTTAGATAGAAAATATATCGCTAGATATATGATTGTGCCCCCTCAAAAAAAAAACAACGTCAGATGACCTTTTTATGCTTGATTAATTAATTGTCAAGGAATTTTGGTGGTTGATAGTGCCTCCTCAACTGAAAATGTATGGCTCTGCACCCCCCCCCCCTACCTACCAACTGAAATTGCTTCCTACGAGCCTGGCTTCAGAGATACCTAAAGCTGAGAGGAACAATTATATTTTCAAAATGTCGAGACCCAACAACTAAATTTCCTTTAATGAGCAGAGACAACTTTACAAATAATGATGTTGGGATTCATTTGCTGGATTTCTCCATTCCAATATCCACAGTTGACTAAATACCAGTATTCCGATTTATTAAATACTGGAGGTTGTCCTTTCACTTTATATGGGTCTACTTCAACTGTCCATCGTCTCTATAGAAATGACTAAGACAGCTCATTCTCCTCTAGCTGCTTTCATAGTGCTCTTTCTCCCTTTTACGTGAAGACAGTGATAACATATATTCCATATAGGCAAAAGGCTGCAGTCTGCATATCATTTTCTCAATATGTAATTTAAATCATATGTTTACTAACTAGTATATGTTGAAAAAAAGGGGGGTATCATAATACTCTGTTTATAATTTATTTAGCTTGATGTTGAATTGAAAAAGTATTGTTAGCAATATGCATTTTATATTATACGAGCTTGATCTTGATCATGACAAGAAATAAAAATTTATTATTGGAAATAATTTTTTAGGGAATAGGAAAACTGCAAACGGGGTATTGTTGGAAATAATGATTTAGTAGGGAAGTTTAAATTGCAAAGGGATAAATAAATAAATTTCTAAATCTTAATTTTGTTTGGTAATCATGACGATTTTTATTTGGCTATCGTCGATGTCTTCACATTAGCTTACATGCACATAGCCTATACCACCGGGAGACATTCTCGAATCCACATGCATGCTCTGACTTCTTACTGATTTTGACTGCTGATTTTGTTTATGTGTATTTTAACCACCTTTATTGTACGCTTTTGGTATATATATTCTGTTGTTGTTTTTTTACTGTAACTGGTGTGCAAAAAACCGCATACGAAAAATTATAATTTGGACAGGATCCCTGCATCTCATACTGATTCGTTATTGGAAACCTAAATACCCCCAACTTTAAAGCCAATACTATTAATTTCTGATTTAGAAATTGTATGACACTTTCAGTGCTTTTAGACATATAATTTTATTAAACATCTGCACCAAATTTGTTTACCTAGACTGTACGATTCACATTGGAGCGGTACCGAAAAGTGAAAGTAGTCTGCTTGCATGTACGCTTCTGGTCAGCGTCACAAAAAAGCTTGTTCATGTTTATTTAGAAATTAGGACATTAAACGAGTTGAATTTAATAATTTCATGATATATGATAAAAGCAAGAATTATTCAGCATGACAGGGTAGGTTAAGCTAAGTATTGGACTTTGATAAGAAAAATACAGAATCTTCATTTGAAAGTGATTCGTTAACGGGTGCAATTCGTTATTGGCAACCTCACTGTAGAACAAAAAGCAAGCTTTCATTTAAAAACCTGGTACTCTTGAAGAATCCGAGGTTGCATTGTGTGTTATCTTGATATCTGATAGGTTAGTTAGCTTTTACATAAAGAAAAAGGTAAAATAATATTAATATCATTGAAGGCATAATAGAAGTTGTACTTCAGTTTGCACCCCCACCCTGTGTTAAGGTTTTAGCCTATGCAAAACAATTCAAACGAAATCAACAACAGTCTCTCTGACACTGAATTTAATATATCAACCTGTTTCAACCATTTAAAAATCAACCTAATTTATCGTTTTTGTTTAGGTTTGTAATTTTAGTAAACAGAAACTGTCATTACAAATCTTCGGCAATAATCTCAGTTGTGTAGGAAATGGGATCTTGTGAGGGAGATGTCACATTGATTTGTAAAAAGCAAAATAAATGAAGAAAATCAGAATGAAAGTCTTATTTGTACGAATGACAATATATATATGAAAACTTTAATGATACATAGTTTCTCGTTTCGTTATACATAAATTCGAAGTTACAATAAAAGAATTGATTGATTGCATATTGTTTACGTTCTTTACGAGAATTTTTTCACTCATCAAGAGACATCACCAAATCCCGGTGAAGGGCTTGAAATTTATACCTCTACTCTGGCACTCATGCATGGCCATGAAGCAGTGAAGTTTCTTTATCGTGCTGTTGCCTTCCTTGACACGGGATCTCGGTTTTAAGGTCTCTCTCGAAGGATCGCAACTTTTCTTTTTTGCAGTTTCAAGCGTTTGGGGAAGGGACGGTTGCTATACCGGTCTTTATTAAAGACAGTCGCAGTTGGGTTTCCAACTCACTGCCTTCCGATTACCGAGCAAGCGCTATACACTGTACCAGAGAAACATAGATAAAAATTTCCAAAAAAAGTAAATGAATGTTTTGGTCAAATGAAAAAAAACATTAATGCTGAAATACTGTTTAAAGGTCGATAAACAACTAACAAAAATCTTAAAGGTTACTTTCTGTACTTTATCAATCATCACGAGGGCAGTGTTTAATAGTTCTAGAGAGAGATAATGCTCTGAAAAACGTCCAGTAATGACCAATATATTATGATCCTTAAATCTTCATATTGTAATCTTACACGTGAATATATACCACACGTTTAATTAAAAGTCATTAATTTGTGATTATATGACTGAGATTTAAAGAGATTTAATATAGTTATCCTAATTAAGTTTAGTTCAGTTAAGGGGATTAAGGAGTCTATTTAATAAGATACTTTTCTCTTAGGAGTTAAGCTTTACGTATTGATCATGATCTGCTTGTTTTCTTAATCTATTAGTTTAATACTCCTCTAAGGAAATTGCAAATTTTTTGGCAGTTGTGTAAGTGCAGTCTTTGAACTTAAAAGGACTACATTTTATTCCAAAGGCAGAAAATGTACTTTTAAGCATGGTGTTTTTTATGACTGCAGGTTATTCTTCTTATATTTTTTTGTAATTTCTTTAAATCTGTACACTATCTATTTGTTATCAGAGAGAAAAATACAATTTTGGATTTTTTCTTTGTTTAATTTTATCTGTTTTTAAACATTAATTATGCACATGCATATTACGAAAATCAATGGAAAGCAATGTATATGCGGTTAATCTCACTGTAGGACGTTTTGCAAAACAAAAATTAATATGAGTTGTTTCTTTTAACTCAATCTGAATTTTCTTTTCATCTGCTACAACAGATTACAAAACCACCAATGAATAAAAATTATATATAAAAAAAAATTGCATCATTCATTCAACTACATGTACCTGCTATTGACAAAATAAGTAAATGCAATGGTTAATGGTACACTATCATTTTTTTTATCAAAGAGGAAAATACAGTTTTGGATTTTTTTTCTGTATTTATTGTCTTCATATATATTTTGTTTTTATGCATTAATTTTGCACGTGTCATATAAAAAATAATAATGGCGAGTTATTTATATGGGTTCACCGTTCTGTAGGACATTGCTAAAACAAAACAAAAATTAATATGTCATTGAGTTGCTTCTTTCAAACTTGGTCTAAATTTTCTTTTGATCAGCTGCAAAAGATTACAAGACCACGGATGAATATAAATTGTAAAAATCTTCACAAATCATCCATTCAGATTCTTGTAATTGACAAAATAAATGCAATGGTTAAAAATTTATGACCTTTGTTATTACAATTTATGAACGGAGATCAAAGAACCACATTGCTGTAAAGCAAGTTCAAGACATGCAACACCAATACGGAAGAAATGTTACTCTTTAAGAAAACGTTCACTTTCAATTAATGGGTAAATAGGGTAGTATGACCATAGAGATTGCATTTTTTTATTCTGATTACAATTATCAACTTCCACTATGGAAGGTTGTTAAATTTACAAATGTATGGATCAAAAAAGACAGAAATTAATGAATATGAATGAGCAAGAATGGATAATAAAATGAAATTGAAGTAATTTATAAAAATTACAGAATTCACTGTACGACCGCACATGAGGAGGTAACGAAATTGTTTCCAATGCCTTTTATCCACCTCTACGATGGAAAAAATCGGTGGGGGAATTCAAAACTAGAACTCCAGTAGAGAAGTTGTCAAAAATGGAATATGAGACTTAAGGACAGTTTTCACTTTTGTTTCTTAAATACCTTTAGGCCTATAATAGAGAATTCTTTGCTAAACATAGACTTCGATGGTGAAGAAAAATTAAGAGTTTCATTCAACGTCAAACTTTGTGTACCTCACGGGGTACCAAACTGCTTCCTACAATGTAAGGCCTAAATTATGCACAAGATGCAGATGTTTAAAAGGCGCATGTTGCACTAGCGAGGCAGTATTTTTTTAAATGATCTTGACGTTATGGGAAACGTAAATAACGCTTGCTTCGTACGTTCTTACACATTTAGGTTATGTTCATTTATGCACTTCTTCTTATCAAATGTTTTATAATCATGAAGATCATGAAATGTTGCTTTTTACTTTGACAGGAAAAGAAATTTAATTTGACATAGATAAATTAGATTTCTTTTCCTTTCTACGATTTATTGGGACAACCCTCGTACTTTATTTTATTTCACAGAAACTCTAGGATATACAGGTTAGTATAGAGAAAATGTAAAACTTAGTCAGGTACAAGTAGAAGTCAGGCATTTAGATTCAAACACAAAAAAACACTTATAACGCCTGAAGTAGAAACTAATGCTTAGAGAATTTAAATTTTTTGAAAGTTTCTATGAATATTACTAACTGCTCATTACTCTGAATTGCATAAGTATATATACTTCCTATAATATACTGACACGCAAAAGAAACGCAACAAGCTGTCATCTACAAATGTTGATTTTTATATCTTATGATTTTCAAAAGCGAATAAAGTAAGGCTAAAATCATTTTTCAGAACATCAAAGATTTGATAAAAATGTAAAATGTTTATCTGTTTATTTTACTAAGTAAAATATGACTGTTTAAACACCCCCCTCCCAGCCATTCAAGTAAAACGTGCAAGACTGCACTAAACAACAATTGCAGCTTAATTTCTACGATACAACAGGTTCATTAATATCGAGATCTGAGCGAAGGAATTATTCTTTGGCATTTTTAAATGCCCATTTTTCAGATGATTAGGTCGAATTTTCTCTAACTTAAAGCAGTGTAGCCACCCTTGGACTTCTGGTACAAGGAATGTCCTTAATGCACATGATACGTAAGACCCTTTTGAGGCATAATGTAGTGAAATTTCGCATCAGCAGCTCTCCATCACCTTTACATCAAAATTTTCCAGCTAGAGCTATGGAAATGCGTACATAAGCCACTTTCAAGTAGCCTTAGCATCGTTACGGGAAACGAAAGGAGAGTTTATTTTATGAAATATTGCTGCATTACTTATGATGAACAGTAAAAACCCTTAAAACTCCACAATATTGCCAAATGTTTTGTTAAACATGCAATTTTTGATTTCTGTTAAGCAGACTCAAACTTGACTTCCGGTTATGGTACGGAAATCGTTCAACCATTAAATCACCGATGTTTACCAAATTGAAGATATTCATAATTTTAAGACACAGAATTCTTTATTTTACATAATTATTGCCCCCTAAAGTAGGGTGTTGCGTTTCTTTTGCGTGTCAGTATAGCAGAGCGTATCAATCGAATGACTGAAAGGAGTTTTTATCAGGTAAACTTCACTAGAAGGAAAAATAGTACTTTTTAGCTCTAATGAAAGTATTTTGTAAAAGAAAGCTATATTTAATCAGCAAAGGCTTGTTACAATGCTAAAGAAATACCTAATTTATTTATATATTCTTTCTCTTTGTTTCAAGTCCTATTTTTATAAGTTAAACGCATAAGGGTTTCTTATCAAAATTAGCAAAGTTTTTTAAGCTTTTTCATTTGATGTAAATAAATATTCAAAATACAAAGGAAATTATTTTTTTAAATAATGGAAGAAGAGTTTCAAAATATACTTAAAGTCTTGCATTACCTGACATTAATCTTATTAATGCTTAGACAAAGGCTTCATAAAATTTTGTAATTGTATGGTATACTAAATTACATGCATTAAGCGTCTTATTTTACAAATCGTGACAATTAAAAGAACGATCAATTAAATCAGTTTAATTCTAATGAGCAACTGGCATGTTTAATAGATAAATTTAAGATGCATTATTAGTTTTTAGTGATTTAAAACAAAAGAAACCAGACAACAAACCCAAAATAGGCTAATTTATCTAATTATGTCCCGCTTTATCATTGATATTGTCAGTACAATCTTTTCTATCTATTTAATTACTTTCAGACAGGTATCAATGTCCTTATTTTCATATCATCTATTGCTTTATATTTTCTTTGATTGTTTGCTTGTACTCTAAGTTTTCAAACTCATATTCATCTAAGAGGAGACAATATAAATAGCATATATTTATCAGATAACTATGTAATGGGAAATCACAATATCAGAAGATAGGTTCGTCCCTAGTACTTAACATGGAAAATAGCCTAAGGGATCTTCAAAACGGCGAGACTTGCAGGGAATTCTTTGCTCAATTCCTTGACCAACCACAAAAGTTTGATATATGCTCCTGTCTGAAAAATATTTCAATATTTTAATTTTTGGAATTGTCAATTTTCATTTCTGGACCAATACTGTTATTTTGAAAAGCAGGAGCAAATATTTGTTTTTGGGATATGATATAGAAAGGATTAATGCTTAAGTCTAAGTATATTTTATATGCTCACTATAAAGTGCCTTGAACTATCGTTGTTTCTGATGTTATGTATCTTTGACCAGTGTCATGCCTGTGTAGTGAGCACAGAATCTATTGATTATGTATAAATATTAGGCTGCCTAGACAATCAAGCGTTAATTGTATATGTTTGAAAGTTTTGTATAGGGGTTATGTAATCTATATTTCGGTGATATCCATGTGAAGCAGAAGAAAGCATTCTTAAAATGCTTTGTGCTATCAAATACTGTAAAATTACATATTTCCTGGGGACAAATTTTCAAATTTGAGGGGGGGAAAAATATTGATTTCTGGAATTTTATTTCGTGGTTAGAGAAGTATTGTATCGTAATGCTTATTAAATTTTACATTTCGTGGTGGTCGTGAATTCATAGGTCTCTACATACCTAAAAAAAAAAAAGAAAATTAAATCCCCGCGAATATTAGTTATTTCACAGTCGTTTTAATGTTCTTTTTCTTACTCCTTACATGCTTACATAAGTTATTAAATAGTCTAACAATTTTATTTTAAATTTTTAGTTAAATGCAGACCATTAAAAGAGAGGGGAAAATTCTTAACAATGTCAAACTTCATTCAAATATGTTTCGATGGAAGTATTTATATTTCGTAATTAAATTCTATGCGGATACCTCCAAACACAAACTCAGTACAGTGAACTAAAAATTAAAAGACGATTGAAAGGGAAAAGGAAAAGTTTTATATTTCACATTCAGAGTATTAAATATGATGTGAATCTATTGAATACTTGGTATTGGTTACTCAAACGTATTGACTGAAAGATTTGCTATTGTCATGATTATTAGAAGAAATAAAACTACAAATAACTAATTTGGGACGATTTAAAGAAGTGACTTGTTCCTGACTAATAATAAAATGTAAATATTGAATTTACCTATCAGTATAAAAACAAAATTTGCAAATTCTTATGCATACACGCGTGCTATATTACAGTTCAAGTGCCTCATTAGTGATTAACGCAGAGCAGATTTTTTTTTCCATTTCGAAATAATAAAACACTGCACCAGATTTTTCGATTCACATATGTCAAATTTTTCATGACATGTACATGAGATGAATCACAAATACCACTTTCTGTTGCTGTGTAATAGAATGCTTCTGTTTGCAAATTTTTAATCCCGTATTTGTTTTTGCGATCTCGATCAACTCCTCAAAAAGACCCCATTGAGAAGCAAAGATTCATAGCTGATACATTTCATGAAATCTATTGAGACCTTTCCGTAGTTTTTTATTCTTAATCTTTTATCTGTAACTAAATATAGTGCTTTTGTTTTATAGGTCGTCCTATCATTGACATTGTTCAGCTCTATGTTCTTAGCATTGATTCTATACGAGACGCTAATATGGTAAGTGAAAGAATTACTCCCAAGCTAGAGCCTTGCATTGCAGCACATCTCAAGAGACATTTTTGGCGAATGAAAGAATAGAGAAATTGGGTATTTTCACCCTCTAATCGAAATGACCTAACGTTGTTAATAACATGTATTTACATGTAAGACTTTCTCAAAAGTTATTTGAATTTATACGATAATGCTTTTAAGAACTAGATAAACGAGAGGTCAAAGGGAGAAATCTTTAAAAAACATATCATATTAACTGGCTTGCAATTTTACACTACACACATACACTTATTCCACAGGAAACAAACGTTGACGGACGATTGATTGATTGTCGTATGTTATTTAACGTCCCTCTCAAGAACGAACAAAAACAAACACGAAATGTGTAAAGCTCGTACATGTAAATATGGAGAAAAAAACAGTATCCAAGTCCGAACAATACAAATCAGGAGCAAAGCTATAAAACTTCAGATGTGGGATTAGGGAGCCATGGTAGAATGAGCATCCTCTTTCAACCCGCCACATCGGTCATGTGTGCTTGACATGATAAAGAAATACCGGAAAAATATCTCTATCAGTTAGTATGGACAACGTCAATATTTAACTTAATATAAGATATTATATTTGCTGACAAGGTCATGGTATCGACCATAGACATTTCAAAATGCTAATTTTAAAAATAATATTGATATTCCTGTTTCATTAACTTGTCTGTTAATAGCTTGTCTCGTTGTAAGTATTGTTTATACATGTATGGAACGTGCTCTCGCGTATCGAATCAATTGTGAGAAAGATTTTACTATATGTTTCTTGTATATCATGTGTAAGTTTCTACAGAAAATAATATCTCTGTTTTTTTGTTGTTTTTTTTTTGTTTGTTTGTTTTTTGTATGATTGATTTATTTGGGTCAATTGGGTTGATGGGAGGCTTACTTAATCTAGCCATGTGATTCCAGCTCTGGTATTTTCAGAAGTTCGGGTTATAAACCCTTTTAACATTTGTATTGTTTGAAAAAAAAATTTGGACATCAATCATAAATGTTCGTATTACTGATCTTTTTGTCGTGATATTGAATTGTTCAAGAGAAACCTTTAAAATGAAACGTGTAAATAATTTCTCTTTGTGAGAATGCTCTTTCGTGACTCTTTGTACTAATGATCTTCCATGATGAAAATATATTTTTTCTGTTTTTACAAAAGATATTTGCTGTCAATACTAAAGACTTTATATTAAAATAAGCATCAGAACCACGATATTAATCTGTCTAAGATTATTGGATCTGTCATACAATTGATAGTTCGAGCCGATAAAAGTAATAAAAAATGTGAAATATATTAATTTTACCTTCTCTATGATCAGTAGGATAAGAAATAAATGTCAGTACAACTCATAAATAGCAAGCCAAATAATTCATCTGTTTTCACACAACAATATTTCTCATATTTAGCGAAGACATCTTTCTAAGTAAGAAAAAAATCCGTTCTATTGTCAATAAAGACAGTTCTTGGTCCTGGATTCCATTGATTATCGTGAAATATACATGTACAGAGTAATTTTATTTGAAGACAAGTATAAGCTAATGATGTATTAAAATGTATTGCCCTTAAATACAGTGGAAAGTCCAGATTTGGCAATATCGAAATATGAAGCGTTACTGGGGTTTTCCATTCTTTTATTCTTTTGTGGAGTTAAAAGATGGTTGCAGATACATTAGATTGATTTTTAATCGGAAAAAAATGTTTTCAAGACATTTAAAATCTATTTGTCAGAGCACAAAGGTAGGGAAAATTAGTATTCAACGAAGAATTTACATGTGATATGGAATGGAAAAATAAAGTTTAATTGAAGTTATAACCTAATTCTTTTCATATTTCAAAGCTTCAATCTTTCTCTTTAATTGCATTATTATATTTTTGATTAATATTTTGTAGGACTACACAATGTCATTCTATTTTCGCCAACGATGGATTGACCCACGACTTATATACAACGCCTCTTACGGAATCGAGGTCATCGAGCTCGACACAAAGCTTATGGAGCGAATATGGGTTCCTGATATTTATTTTGTCAACGAAAAACAAGCAACAATGCATGATGTGACTGTGCCTAATAAAATGATGTATCTTTATCCCAGTGGACTAGTTCTCTATAGTACAAGGTATAATTTATAAGCATGTTTAATGTTTGCTGTCCGTATATTTCATACATTTATATACAAGGCAAATGTCATAGATAGGGCCTATAACTAAAACATGGACGAAAGTTTCTTATGATTTTTCCTCAATCGAGAAAAAAAGCTTCGGACACGACTCATTTTCTACATAGAACAAGACCTGGGGGCCATAAAACTTAGACGAGCTCACTTTTGATCTCAATCTCACTTTTCCACTATACATTCCTTATGTAAAAGTGAGACCGAGATCAAAAGGTTTATGGCCCCTAGGCCAGATTTCATTTTTTTTAAGTCTGCTAAAAAGTGTTACTCATAACCATTTTGGCCACAGAAATGTTACTTGTTTTTCAAAATCAACAAAATTACATAAAATATTAAATCATAACAAATCAAACACTACATGTATTACAAAATAACATTTCATAAAAATATACAGACAGTCAGGAGTATTGTCGATCCTTATGGAATTTCTAATACTGTTCCTTTAAGATGCATATTACTATAGCATAAGCAGTATATATTCCATCCAAACAATTGCAAATACAAATCGTTTTTTCATATCTAAAAATATAAGATAAAAGGGTTGCTTGCATCAAATTTTCAACAGCCATGCTCTGTGATGTTGCAATCTCTATTGAAGAGAAATTAACAACTGTTTTTGTTCAATTCAGTTGTAATTTTGTCATTAATTATTTATATGTCAATTTCTTTTATGTCTACCTTCGTAGGATCAACAATTTTCTGCTCTAATTCTTGTCTTGTATAATTTTTTTTTTGTTTGTATTTTTCTTTATTTTACAATTTGTTTTCTTTTTCTTTTACAGAATAACAGGTGTCTTTTCCTGTATGATGAATCTTCAGAAATATCCTCTCGATCGACAAATATGTAGCCTTAGATTAGAAAGCTGTAAGCACACTATTCATAATTTATTCAATGTACAAAACATTATTTCAAGACATTTTCAATATTTTTAGACCTGCATCGTTGTTTGATTGCCCTTGCTCGAATCAAGTAAAACAATTGGTTGGGTAGCTAGGTGAGAAAAATATTTTTTTCCAGAGAATTTAAACAATCTCATTTATTAATGAGATAAGAAGAAAAAGGAAACAAAATCCTGACCTGGAATGAAAAAAGTCGGGTAACTTTTAGTCGGTCGGTCGGGAGAGGGCGACCAAATATTTTTTTAAGATGGCCTAACATGAATATGATATAAATTGCTATAACGTACCAATTACGAATTGTTTCAGATGCACACAGTGCAAAAACTATCGTTGTTCGATGGAAGACACCAGCTGTTGAGTTCTCTCCCTCTCTTCTTCTTCCACAGTTTGAAATTGAAAAAAATCACCCTTCAATTTGCGATACGTTGTATATGGGAAGTGAGTACAATGTAATCTTATTCCAGAAAGTTATTTTAAAATTTTGTATCTTTTAAAATAGTCAGCTATATATTATATTTCAAGAGGAGAAATTTTAATTTCAAATTCTGTGAATGATATAAATCACAGAACAAACACAAATTTCTGCAAACGATAAAGAATCAATATTTTTAAACGTTGTTTATACCATACCTGTATACGTAAGAGTAACCATTCTAAAAACCCAATAGATTTGACCATTTTAAGACTATACTAAAAATATAGAGTTAAGATATTATCAGTAGTCAATATTCAATATAGAAATGTTTGTTTCATTTCAGTTAATTACTCTTGTGTTGCACTTGACATTCACCTGAAACGGAATCATGGGTACTACGTCACTCAGATCTACGTCCCCAGCGCTTTAGTAGTGGTCCTATCGTGGGTCAACTTCTGGCTAACAGTGGATGCAGTTCCAGCCCGAATTTCCCTCGGTCTTTTAACTGTGCTCACTATGACAACACAAAGCACGTCATTTTTCTCAAATTTACAAAAAGTGTCTTATATTAAGGCCTTAGACGTGTGGTTGGCTGTTTGTATGATGTTTGTGTTTTCAGCATTATTAGAATTTGCTTATGTGAATGTAACGTTTCGAGTAACCAACAGAAGGAAGTCTATACAGGATCTGCCAATGTTCGTGCATACAAATGGCGACTGTAAACCAGATTCCGTGTTTTCTTTAGGTGGAGTTGAAAACGACGTTGTAAGTACACTTTAAAGCATTCCTTAGGTTATCAAGTCCTTATTGTTTTGGTTGATTGTTTGTTTTACGTTTTTTTTGAGAATTTTTACACATATTGAGACTCATTTGCGGGAAAAGGGCTGAAAATTTAGACGATTATTTTTGCACTATATAAATGCTTTGAATAGTCAGTGACCTTTTTCGTGCTGGCACCTTCTGCGGCGTGCGACTTCAGTTTATAACCTGTCTTTTCCGAAAGACCAGTTTCTGTATCCCACTGTGGGATTCGAACCCGTGACGTGAGAATCAACACTTGAGCCTAAGACTCTTAATCAAATGTTTTTTACAAGTGTGCAATGTAGGCGATATTTCTCCGTAGAAAAATATTTCAATAATGGAAAATACTCCATATGTGACTGATCTGTCTTGTAAATTATAATATTTATACAGTCAGAGCTATTAAGAATTTTTATTTCCATATTAGAATCAATATCCTTTTGAAGAAAGCTGTATCTTCAGGAAACTGCTTCTAATAAACATACATTTAACAGCACTTTAAGGTTTATTTGAATGAATGTTAAGAATGAAATAACTTTTTACTTAGGACTCATTCAACACTATCGGGAGATTTCCTTATAAGCGGTCTCTTTATAACAAGCACAATCAATCAGCCCAGGTAAAGAAATGTTGTAAAAATAATTCCAATGTCATCTCCCGTTTTTTTTTTCTTTCTTTCTTTCTTTCTTTTTTTTCATTTTTTTTTTTTTTTGGATTACTTCACAAATAATTTAAAGGCCTAATAAAATGCTCTAGCTGATTTAAGATCAGAGACAAAACCATTTTCCCCATCTAATGATATATATTTTATAGTTAACCTTGCTTTCTCAAGTGATAAGCAAATTGAGTGTAATTTTCCTGAAAATCTTCCAAGTAACAAACATGTTTTAATGCATTACCCAATATGCTATCAAGTTACTGTCGAATGCAAAAAATAATTGTGTGAAAGATTTGTTATGCATTCATTCATTGTTATCCATTTGTTTTGTTTTTTGTTACCCATTTGTTATCCATTCATTCATGGAACCTAATATGAACATTCATTGTTGTAGAATATACATTTATATTTCAGACGCGGCGAAATCAAAACCACAATCAACCAAATGCAAGTAAACAGAAAAAAGCTGGACTTCTTGAAAGTTTGTATTCAAAAGAGCGGGAAAAGGCTCGCAATATTGACCGTATTTCACGCATATTGTTTCCGGTTGCATTTCTTGTATTTAACATTGCTTATTGGTGCGTATATTTATTATGGGAACCCACAAATGAACCAAATGGTTCCTGATGACTGCCAAAATATGTATTTGTACCTATATATCAGTATTTATATTGTTTGCATAATAGATGCAGAACATACCATACTGTAATTGTAAAATTCAGACACTGAAGTGTACTACAGTGTGCATTCATTATATCCCATTTAAACATGATGTAATCTTAACTTTACCTTCTCCTTAATTATTCAATTTTGATATTTAGTCACAATTTGGGGTATATTTTGTTAAACTATCAATGTTACTGAACTAAAAACAAAAACAGTAAATGTGCAACTTGGAGAAATTACTACATCATATGTAGAACTTGTTTAATCATAAGATGTATTTTTTTTGCAAATTATTGTTTTATATATACCAAACTTAATTGTAAGACGAATATTTACTGAAATTATATATTAGATCATATCATACAATTTAAAGTTTAAGACATATACATGTATTTATGTGTTTTTGTAGGATATGTCACACCCTAAACATTCTCTGTGCCACGAAATCTTGCGTATTTTCAATCAAGTTCTCTACTTTTTTCTCATTCCTTGTGTTATCTTAATGATATTAATGTTTTATTGTGATATGTTTAATTTAACTACATGTATCTTTGAAATTAAATTTCAAAAAAAGTGTTCATTATTATTATTTCTTATTAAAATGTCGAAAACAGAACATTCGGAATAAGTTTTATGTAAAAATAAGCATTGACTGTTGTTATGTCAAACTGTAACGAGGACACACTTTTGTGGGGAAAAAAATTAAAAAGGGTGTGGAGAATGTCAAACTTTTCAATCGTCAACCCCCCTTACTTATGCAAGAATAGTCTATTGTCACCTGCATACGGGAATATTCTTCCAATTAATTGGATACGCAGCCAAGAGTATGCTCAGTATACGTATGAACAATTTCTTAACGAGGTAAGTTACTGACCAACAAGCTGATGTAACAAGAATATCAATAGGTTTGTTTAAAGTAATCATTTTCGTAATTTCAATGGTCGATACAGTAACCTTGTCAGTAAATACATTCTATCAATAAGTCAAATGCGGACCGTTTTTCATACTAATCAATAATCATTATATAAGTTTATGTATGAACAGCAGTACGAACGTTAAAACAATATTTCAGAGATAGACAGATTTTACAAAGTTCTGTAGTATTGAGTTGAAGATTTTGCAATACGTGTATAGGAAAATATCAATCGATAAATTAAAGAAATAAACAAAAAATACAATATAGACTAGCCACTAGTCATACAGGTTAAGAACTCAATATTCATTTTAATTTTTGAAAGTTGCATTTAGAATTTAGGAAAATTCCGGTCTGAATTGAATTTTATAAATCTACTTACACTGTCTTTACATTGTTAGCAATTAAAGAACTTATAGATGTTAATGGAATCACACATAAATGAATTTTAGATTCGGTTATCTGTTAAGTATTGAATATCACATATTTCATTCGTTAAAATCTTTGTAAATAAAGTAATTTTAATTCGAGTAAATAATATCTGAGAGACTGTTTAATTTTACTCAATGAACATACTGAATATGTTTGCACATTAACACTTTACAGAAGATTAATTTACTGACTATTTAATCTCAGTGTAAAAATTCTTTAGGTATTGGCTTTATATATTCTGAAGAAAGTTTATTAATGGATGCATATACAAAAAAAATGTACTATCGCATCAATATCACTTAGATTAAAAAAAATATTACTGTAAAATACATTAGACATTGATTATCAAAAGATGACGATATGCACCGTAATCTGTAAATGAAATCGCGGAATGCTTTATTATATAGGTTTATAAAGCAACGTACGTGGGAGACATTCCACATAATGACAAAACATAACAGTTTTTAGAAATTCTACGACAAAATTAAGTTTTGAAAAAAATAAGTTTAACAAAGTTTTATTCAAGTAACTGTACTTCTTCCATGATCAATTATTTTGAATGTTGTTTATTATAAGATGTGTAAGTATTATTTCACTGAATTTCTTTCTATTTTAATCAATTCATATTCTTTTTGTAATCTTTGGCTTCTTTGGAACGGTTATTGATGTTTAATTTTTCATGTTGAGTATCTCTGGTTTGTTTACTGTTTCAAAAAATTTGTTTTTGTCTATTCTAAAAATAAGAATTTATTACTCCCCTTTGCATTATAATTTTTTTCACTAATACTGAATACCGCAATAAAAAAGTAACTCTGTATTTTCCTCTTACTTACAGCAGGAATAACCCATTTATATGTTAAATACTTCATCCATGGACGGGATTTTAATACAAACATTTAAAAACATTTCGGTTTTTCGTTTAATGTTTCAAAACGTAAGTTAAAAAAACCTTAGAATCCGCTATGTCTATTTCAAATTAAAATGTCAAACTTAGGCCACACCAATCCAATATCTTGGTCGCCGGACCCGCGCGCACGTAATTTATAACTTTCCAAAAAATAATATTAAAAAAGATTTCCCGCATCCGGAATTTTTTGTTCCGTTTTCCGCATCATTTTCGACTCTTTACTTTTATTTTTTTCATTCCAAGTCCGGTTGCGTTTTAAATCAAGGCTTTCAAAAACGCACGAGTCTTTTTCTGAATTACGCTGACCGTATCACAAATCTTTGGCGCTGGATTGTCAGTATTCTAGTAAGGAGTTTAACATAGAAATATATCAAGAATGCCTGTGCTCGTGGTAAAAATTAGCTGCAGATCTGTAGCTCTCCGAAAAAATATATATTGATAGACCGGAGAGCTACAGAGCCACCCATTGAATAAACTGTACATATTTATTGCGCACAAAAAAATGCGCTCGGTTCTCGATTTATTTCTCCGCGTTTTCAAATCTGTAATCTCAAAATATTACTAACCGTGTGTTCCTAACATATTCTTTGACTCTTTCCACAACAAAACATTCCTCATAATTGTTGTTAATAGTTCCTGTGGCTCTGACTTTGCAATCATCGGACATTTCGCTTAATTATACTGCCATTTTGCATGTTTTGGTTTCAAAGATAATTCGGTCCAATATGCTTCGTTAAGATGTCAACTACGAGAGAACTTGATAGAGGAGAGGGTAATTTTTTAAATCTTCCATTTTTTGCAATTGAGGTAAGAATTTGGAAAAATTTATCAAGAATCGTGCGCACTTTTTTGTGCGCAATAAATATACAGTTTTTTCAATGGGTGGCACTGTAGCTCTCCGGTCTATCAATAATTTTTTTTCGGAGAGCTACAGATCTGCAGCTAGGTAAAAATTAGTGATCAGGAAGGAGGAGTTATTATGAAAAACTGTTACAAATTTTACAAGGGGAAGTCAACGTTCTTCGAACTGTTTGAAAAATGTGTTTACTGTTTTTTTTAAAAGACACTGATTCGATCGTTTAAATGCGTTTACGTGAAAACCAACAAGGCCAATTCATTCTTGCAGTCAATGCTGATATCGATGTTTCTAAAATATCTACTACACTTTCATGTAAGTTTGTGCAATTAATCAGTACTCAAAAACTTACATTAACTTTGTATCTTTGTTTAAAACATCTTATGTATATGAAATAATGCATTAAACTGCCATGTGTACCATACAGAAGTGTTTTTTACAAGCTTAATGAAATAGATATTCTAAAAAATTAAGAAGCAGAGATATTATGTCAAATGAAATGTCAATTGCGTTCCTTTTTACAATTGTCCTGTAAGGGCATAACTTTGTAAAAACTTATTTGAATCTAACTTTTCGTAAAACATTTAATAGGTGTATGGACAAGTCACAGATGATAGAAAAACAGGGAAATGTTGACGACCCAGAAAGTTCGAGATATTATTGTATGTGGAGAGTGGTCAAAACACAGATGTGTCCACACTTTAGTGAAAAAAAGGTAAGTAGAAGGGATGTTTTATTACCTGTTTATGGTTTGAATTGCAGTTTCAGATACCTACAAGCTTAAATTTATTTTAGATTGATATATTGTGAGACTGCTTTTTCATAATGGAAAGTTATTGCAGGAGGAGCTATTAATTCGTTTCAAAGAGGATCATTAGTATACCTGGTATCAGAGGACATAGAGGATACAGGAACAGTAGTCAAGGAGGTCACAAACTGCACAGTTATTTTTCAACTACTTTAAAGCACTACCTCCCACCTGTGTGTGTCCATTGCTGAAGTACTGAACATCTTCTGGATGATACAGACTCTCATATTTCTGATCTTTATGAACAATATTCATTTAGTCAAGCTTTATTTCAACTTTGTGAAAATATTCACAGAGACCATAGAAGTTGGGGGAAAAATATTCTGCCCAAAAGGTGTAAAAGATAAAATGTTATGAATTGTACATTTACATGATGTGTGATTCCTACTTGAATCACTATGAATTGAAATAAACAGGTTTTTAAAAAATAAAATATTATCGCTCGCCTCATTTAATTCTATACCGCTCCTCCGTTTTTAAATTTCAGCCTTTTAATTTTAAAATTTTCAAATCGCTCGCTCGCCCCAATTTTTTCTGTCGAAAATCCGAAGAACAAGAAATTAAATTGGTGTGGCCTTAACATATACTAAAATGGCCATGCACCTAATGACACAGCCGTGGAACCTTTGATAGAGGATACATACTCGTCCTTTGCACCCGATTCCACCTCTAGTGCTACTAAGTCCCTTGATTTTGCATCATATCGTTAAGAAGGTTCATGAGATGGATTATAGTGTACATCATTGTCATTTTTATTGATATATTATTATTATTTAAAATACTATCTCCATTTTAAATTGTATGGTATTTCTTTTTTTACGAATTTACTGAAACTTTGTCAATACTCCTATAGATTTTCTTTTTATACTTCATGTACATGCACTGTAAACACACTCCCTTATCAGATTTGTAAATCACCTCTAAAATTAAATGAGAAACTACAGTACTCTATAAATTCAAATATCTGACTGAGATAAACAAGATTTTAAATTTTTTGGACCTTTTTGACATTTATAATTATAAACCCTTTCAATTAATAAAAAAGGGGGGAAAATAAAGCCTGTACAAATGGGCATAATAGACTGGGACGTTTTTGTTTGCCTGGGGATAATGATAAAGCTCTTCTTTTAATTAAATGAATATACGCCGCCATATATACTTTTAGATGCGAAAAAAGTAATACAATATTAATCCCTTTTTGTATCTGAGGATCATTTTAACTCTTTGTAAGTTAAAATGCTTCTTTTATATCATCTGTCGACAAGAGGTTTCGCAATTATTTAGCTTAGTAATTGGGTCATCAAAGAGATTTCTAATCACAAGTTACTTTGTCATATGATGAGAAGTGTGTATAAAAGTGCAGTGTGGTAGATCTTGGACTTGATAGATAAGATATGAGAACAT